GAAGGCAGATGTGTTTAAAGTCAGATGTTATTGTGGTGAAGGTAGATGTGTTTAAAGTCAGATCTAACCTAACTAAACCACACTTAACTTACCCAAACCTAATTTACCTAACCTAACCTGATATAACCTAGCCTAAATTATATAACCTAACTGAAATTAACCTAACCTGACGTGACCTCACCCAACCTAACCCAACCTAACTTAACCGAACCTGATGTAGCTTGACCTAACCTAATTAAACTTAACCTAACCTGACCTGACCTACCCCAACCTAACCTAACCTGACCTAACCTAACAACTGAAGCTGCTAAAGGTAATCAAATATTTGGGACACTTATTTTATGCTACATTTTGTTAATTTGTATTTAGAATTGGATAATATTTGTAGTATATTACCAGCAATAATGTTTAGTAATTTTGTAATATTGCTGGTTGTTAATGACGTTACCGTAGCACGCGGCCGACGCTCCAATATATAACACGAATTGAGTGGAGCTAATTACAGGCTTCCTAATTATTTCGCTCACCTAAATCTAATAAACGTTCGATGATGTTTATGATTATAGCAAGCAGCCATAAGACCCGAGAACCATTGTTTTTGTTTTTAGCAATGGAAAAATAAATTATGTATTATTATTATCCGTAGTCTGAAGGTGAAAGTAGGTCATCATAGGATATCAGTACACATGCTGGCAGGGTGATCTGGCAGTGCACTTGACCGTCTTCATTTCCTCAACTTAATTCGTAGTTTAACAAATATGAAATTCTTTGACTATTGGTTTTAGTTAAACTTGAGCGTCTAATTTCATTGAAGAACTATTTTAATCAATAAAGTTGTACATTATTTTATTTATCTTTGTGTCCAGAAGTTGTGTTTATCCGATAACTATAATTTTGGGACAATTTCAGCTGTGCTCTAAGATTCTGTCCATCATGTTGAGTACAGATCCACACCTCCATTGTCACTCATACATTATTCACCCTTCACCAGAGGAGATGTCTGTGTTCAGTGGACCCTTCTAAGCTTCCACTCGTTATCAAAACATTTTACAGTCTGTTGTTCATATTACAAGATAACAACACCAGTCTGAGTAGAAGACTGACGCACCTCCCTCACCCTCTCACCCCTCCCTGACGCTCTGACTCCTCCCTCACCTTCTCACCACTCCGTCACTCTCTCATCCCTCCCCCACCTTCTCACCCCACCCTCACCCATCCTGGGATATGGGGAAAAGGTGTCATCCGTCAAGCGTCAACGAAATTTGCCAAGAACCACCGACTGGGAGGAGTGTGGATTCTCACTTCCAGCACAGCACCCACCCTCACCCACCCTCACCCATCATCCCACCCCTCCTTGACCCTAAAATCGTCCAAGTCTCTTTAATCCACCATCACCTCAATCCTAAGAAATAAATAAAGTGGAGTAATTGAATGAGAAATAAGAATAGCCAATAAATGAGTGAGAAATAAGAATAACCAATAAATGAATGAGAAATAAAAATAACCAATAAATGAATGAGAAATAAGAATATCCAATAAATGAATAAGATCTCCTTTTATTACCATTAGTCCCAGATACAATATAGATTAACAGTTATAAAGTAGAACACCAGGATGGCGCTGACTCACCTCTCCCAAGACCAGGAATTCATCGACCCACACGTGTTTGGTCTAAGGTCTTAAAATATATTACTAACAAAGCTTATACGTTGTGTAATTATCATCAATATCGTTCATAACTTATTAATGTGTTTCAACTCCTATGGTTGCTAATCACTGGCTCTTATTCGCTTTATTTACAGTATCACATAGAATGGTGTTGTTGATATAATGATAAACAAGACAAGTCCCTTAGCAAGAGTTATTGATGTTACCATTACTGCTCGTCTGTACTTCAGGTCTTCAGGCGTGATATTTAAGGGTATAGTTCTCTATGATTAATTAATTCTGTAGTGTACGAAGATTTATGAATATATTACTAAGGACTGTGTGGCGGTGGAGGGTCGCCCACCTAAGATCGGGAAAACTTTAAAAAGCATTATTGAAAATATCGGAAATTCACTCGCGTTGTTTGAATCTAATGGTCTTATATTATACGTCGGGACCAAGACCATGAGGTGAATGATGGGGTGAGTGTGTGGTGTTGATGGTGAGTGTGTGGTGTTGATGGTGAGTGTGTTGGTGTTGATGGTGAGTGTGTTGGTGTTGATGGTGTGTGTTGGTGTTGATGGTGTGTGTTGGTGTTCATGGTGTGTGTTGGTGTTCAGGGTGTGTGTGTGTGTGTTGGTGTTGAGGTGTGTGTGTGTTTGGTGTTGAGGTGTGTGTTGGTGTTGGTGTGTGTGTTGGTGTTGAGGTGTGTGTGTGTTGGTGTTGAGGTGTGTGTGTGTGTTTTGGTGTTGAGGGGTGTGTGTGTTTTGGTGTTGAAGTGTGTGTGTTGGTGTTGAGGGTGTGTGTGTGTTGGTGTTGAGGGTGTGTGTGGTTTTGGTGTTGAGGTGTGTGTGTTGGTGTTGAGGGTGTGTGTGTGTTTTTTTGAGGTGTGTGTGTTGGTGTTCAGGGTGTGTGTGTGTGTGTGTGTGTTGGTGTTGGGGTGTGTGTGTGTTTGGTGTTGAGGGTGTGTGTTGGTGTTGGGGTGTGTGTGTGTTTTGGTGTTGAGGGTGTGTGTTGATGTTTAGGTGTGTGGGTGTGGGTGTTGAGGTGTGTGTGGTGGTGTGAGGTGTGTGTGTTGGTGTTGAGGGTGTGTGTGTTTTGGTGTTGAGGTGGTGTGTAGTGTTGATGGTGAGTGTGTGGTGTTGATGGTGTGTGTGTTGGTGTTGAGGGTGAGTGTGTGGTGTTGATGGTGTGTGTTGGTGTTCAGGGGGTGTGTGTGTGTTTGGTGTTGGTGTGTGTGTGTGTTGGTGTTGAGGGTGTGTGTGTTGGTGTTGAGGGTGTGTGTGTTGGTGTTGAGGGTGTGTGTGTTGGTGTTGAGGGTGTGTGTGTGTTGGTGTTGAGGGTGTGTGGTTGTTGGTGTTGAGGGTGTGTGGTTGTTGGTGTTCAGGGTGTGTGTGTGGGTGTTGAGGGTGTGTGGTATAGATGGTAAGTGTGTTGGTATTAAGGGTGAGTGTGTTGGTGTTGAGAGTGTGTGTGTTGGTGCTTGGTAGCGATAATGTGAGTGGTTATGATGGTGAAAATGGTGGTGATGGGGAAGAGGGTGTCAATCATAGTGATGGTGTGGATGGTGTTGATAGTGAGAGGCGATGACGTTAATCATGGCGTCGATGGTGTGGATGGTGATGATGTGAGTACTATGGTGTCTGGTAATAGTGTGTAATGGTGATAACGTTCGAGATAATGGTGATTGGTGATGATGATGATGATAGTAGTGTGTGTGTGTGTGTGTGTGTGTGTGTGTGTGTGTGTGTGTGTGTGTGTGTGTGTGTGTGTGTGTGTGTCAAAATAAATTCCACCTTAAACCACCAAAAAAAATCTCACCCCAAAATTTCCAAAATTCATCTTGTGTTCAAACTTTCAGCAGCTGGTCCCTCACAGATGTCCGGGGCAAATTATTTTCTGTAAATTATTTTTTAGTCCAGCTGCCAGCCTGACCACCATTACATATTAAATGTGTGTGTGTGTGTATGTGTGTGTGTAAGATAGCAAGATAAAAGTTAATAATTGTTATTCTGAATTATCAATGGTAACAGGAGCCGTTGAAATTTAAGACATAATATATAAAATTGATACATGAAAAAGTTAACTCAGGCTCAGTAAATTATCTAGGTAATTTTTTAGTAATGTTAAATCAATCTTAAAAAAATCGGCGAGTGTTCACATTGTTCCTATCACTGTCAACTGTACATCAGCTCGGCACGATATACTAAAACAACAAATGTCAAGTCAGTTACAGCAAACTTCTCAAGTAATTTTTTTATTCATTCGTTTTTTTTTTCGAAATGGTTTTACATTTATCTCCTCTGACCTGAAATTGTAACCAAAAGTCGGTGTTATGGATTCCGTGCATTGCGGATTCTATCTTTACTTGGTAACATTGGCACTAACTATTCTCAATCGCATCTACATCCTGACTGTAAAATTAGCTACACATTTACAGCGAGCAGGTGTACTTTAGGAGATGAGTCGAGCGTTATACCCACTCGGCCGCCACACCTCTTAAATCATCGTACTTGAATGGTTTAGTCATCTCACTCAAGGTTTTAATTATCGTACTCAAGGGGTTAGTTTATCGTACTCAAGGGGTTAAGATCATCGTACTCAAGGGGTTAACTCATCGTACTCAGGGGGATAAATCATCATACTCAAGGGGACATTGGTGTTATGGAATCCGCACTTGTCAGAAAATATTTACCGTTTGACTAGAAGGTAATCTCTCTCTCTCTCTCTCTCTCTCTCTCTCTCTCTCTCTCTCTCTCTCTCTCAAAACAATATCTATTACATTTACCTACTTACCTTTAAATATATTAGTTCCTCGTCAACCAAGAATTATGTTATTTGTCCGTGATTGCGTCAGGCCGTCAGGGAGTCCAACCGTCAGTGCTTCCGCCAGTCCTTCCATGAGTCCTTCCGTCAGTGCTTCCATGAGTCCTTCCGTGAGTCCTTCCGTGCATCCATGAGTTGTGCAGCCATAATTATATACCCAACTCACCAACGTGTTTATATATCACAACAAATTCTCACAAAAGTTCGATAATCAACATTTTCTGTCGTCATCAAGAGAGAGTTGTGGTGGCCCCCTGAACCTTGGTGCAGGGGCGACGAGTGTGGTGGCTCCTCTGAACCTTGGTGAGGGGCGACGAGGGTGTGGTGGCTCCTCTGAACCTTGGTGCAGGGGCGACGGGGAGTTGTGGTGGCCCCTCTGAACCTTGGTGCAGGGGCGACGAGGGAGTTGTGGTGGCCCTCTGAACCTTGGTGCAGGGGGGACGAGGAGTTGTGGTGGCCCTCTGAACCATGGTGCAGGGGCGACGAGGAGTTGTGGCCCTCTGAACCTTGGTGGGGGCGACGAGGAGTTATGGTGGCCCCTCTGAACCTTGGTGCAGGGGCGACGAGGTTGTGGTGGCTCCTCTGAACAGCAGTGCAGGGGCGACGGGGTGTGGTGGCCCCTCTGAACCTTGGTGCAGGGGCGACGAGAGTTGTGGTGGCCCTCCTGAACCTTGGTGCAGGGCGACGAGGGGTTGTGGTGGCCCCTCTGAACCTTGGTGCAGGGGCGACAGGGGGTGTGGTGGCCCCCAGAACCTTGGTGCAGGGGCGACGAGGGAGTTGTGGTGGCCCCTCTGAACCTTGGTGCAGGGGCGACGAGGGAGTTGTGGTGGCCCTCTGAACCTTGGTGCAGGGGCGACGAGGGAGTTGTCTATCATTAATGTCAACCTTGTCAGCTTAAATCCTCGAGGTAAATCCCAAGAAGTATTTTCCTTTGGGGTTTAGAATCGGTCAGAGTTCAAGAGCACCAAGTCACAGGGTTACACTCTCGCTAGCCTCAACTATATTACTCTCTATGATTATATAATGAGGATTAAATTAGATGTACACAAGTAAAGAAAGAATTTATAGATGTAGGATTGTAAAGTGAGGAAAGTTTGGTAGCGTGGCCGATTAGTTACTTTGACTTGGTATTATATTCTTAGGGAGAATCTTCTGAACGCCAACTCTAAGTACAACTATTTATTGGATAATTCAATGGCATGGACACATTAATAGCCCATTATATCGATGTTACTAGACAATGACTCTCGGACACAAACATGAAATGGATCCACTTCCCACCGTAAGTAACTCACCCTAAGGATCGTTCTGACAATGACTCACGTGTTACCTGAGGGAGGCCCAGCGGCTGGGGGATGTCTGCAGGTGCTGCTGGTCTCTGTCTCCTGTGGGAAACTCTGCTACCTGTCTCTGGGAAGGAGCTGTCGGCCCCTTCCCTGTTATAATAATAATACCTCGTGGAAAGAGCTGAAGGCCCCTTATATTGGCGGTCACAAGCCGGCAGATGACCTCTCCTAATTAACAATAAACTGTGTAGGTCTGGATAGCTGTGTTTGATCAGGTGTGCGGTCATGTCGCTTTTCGTGGTACACAGGTGCTTCTTGATTATTACCACTCAGTGGCGTGTCTTGGCCTGGTGTAGTTTCTTTAATACGGTCATAACGCTGGGTTAGCTCAGGTACCTTGTGGCCCTGACCTCTCCTGGGTCAGGTCTTAATCTCACTGTAATTACGAAGGGTGGGTCAACTTTCGAGGTGTACACACCTGCGCTTCCAGTCACTGCTATATGTGCAGGGTACTGTTGCTAGGATGTGGTGGGGAGGGACTGTTGCTAGAACGTGGTAGAGGAGGACTGTTGCTAGGATGTGGTAGAGGGACTGTTGCTAGGATGTGGTGGTGCAGGGGTACTGTTGCTGGGATGTGGTGGGGGAGGGGACTGTTGCTAGAATGTGGTAGGGGAGGGGACTGTTGCTGGGATGTGGTAGGGAGGGACTGTTGCTGGGATGTGGTGGGGAGGACTGTTTCTGGGATGTGGTGGTGCAGGGGACTGTTGCTGGGATGTGGTGGGGAGGGGACTGTTGCTGGGATGTGGTAGGGGAGGACTGTAGCTAGGATGTGGTAGGGAGGGACTGTTGCTGGGATGTGGTGGGGAGGACTGTTGCTAGGATGTGGTGGTTTATGGGACTATTGCTGGGATGTGGTGGTGCAGGGGACTGTTGCTAGGATGTGGTGGTGCAGGGGACTGTTGCTGGGATGTGGTGGGGGGAGGGACTTGCTAGGATGTGGTAGGGGAGGGACTGTTGCTAGGATGTGGTGGGGAAGGGACTGTTGCTGGAGATGTGGTGGTTTATGGGACTATTGCTGGGATGTGGTGGTGCAGGGGACTGTTGCTGGGATGTGGTGGTGCAGGGGACTGTTGCTGGGATGTGGTGGGGGGGAGGGACTGTTGCTAGGATGTGGTAGGGGAGGGACTGTTGCTGGGATATTGGTGGGAGGGACTGTTGCTGGGATGTGGTAGGGGGAGGTACTGTTGCTGGGATGTGGTAGGGGGAGGGACTGTTGCTGGGATGTGGTGGGGGAGGGACTGTTGCTGGGATGTGGTGGTGCAGGGTGCTGTTCTGGGATGTGGTGGTGCAGGGGACTGTTGCTGGGTTGTGGTAGGGGAGGACTGTTGCTGGGATGTGGTGGTGCAGGTGCTGTTGCTGGGATGTGGGTGTGGTGCAGGGGACTGTTGCTGGGATGTGGTAGGGGAGGGGACTGTTGCTGGGATGTGGTGGTTTACGGGACTATTGCTGGGATGTGGTGGTGCAGGGGACTGTTGCTGGGATGTGGTGGTGCAGGGACTGTTGCTAGGGATGTGGTGGGGGGGTGGACTGTTGCTGGGATGTGGTAGGGGAGGGGACTGTTGCTGGGATGTGGTGGGGGGAGGGACTGTTGCTGGGATGTGTGGTAGGGGAGGGGGACTGTTGCTGGGATGTGGTGGGGAGGGGACTGCTGCTGGGATGTGGTGGTTTACAGGGACTATTGCTAGGATGTGGTGGTGGGGGACTGTTGCTGGGATGTGGTGGGGGAGGACTGTTGCTAGGATGTGGTAGGGAGGGACTGTTGCTGGGATGTGGTGGTTTACGGGACTATTGCTAGGATATGGTGGTGCAGGGGACTGTTGCTAGGATGTGGTGGTGCAGGGGACTATTGTTGGGGTGTGTGGTGGGGGGAGGGACTGTTGCTGGGATGTGGTATGGGGAGGGACTGTTGCTAGGATGTGGTGGGGGGAGGGGATGTTTGCTGGGATGTGGTGGTGCAGGTGCTGTTCTGGGATGTGGTGGTGCAGGGGACTGTTGCTAGGTTGTGGTGGGGGAGGGGACTGTTGCTGGGATGTGGTGGTGCAGGGTACTGTTGCTGGGATGTGGTGGTGCAGGGGACTGTTGCTAGGATGTGTGGGGAGGACTGTTGCTGGGATGTGGTGGGGGAGGGACTGTTGCTGGATGTGGTGGGGAGGACTGTTGCTAGGATGTGGTGGGGGGAGGGGACTGTTGCTAGGATGTGGTAGGGGGGAGGGACTGTTGCTGGGATGTGGTGGGGAGGACTGTGCTGGGATGTGGTGGGAGGGACTGTTGCTGGGATGTGGTAGGGGAGGACTGTTGCTGGGATGTGGGCGGGGAGGGACTGTTGCTGGGATGTGGTAGGGGAGGGACTGTTGCTGGGAATGTGGTGGGGGAGGGACTGTTGCTAGGATGTGGTAGGGGAGGGACTGCTGCTGGAATGTGGTGGTTTACGGGACTATTGCTGGGATGTGGTGGTGCAGGGGACTGTTGCTGGGATGTGGTGGGGGAGGGCTGTTGCTGGGATGTGTGGGGAGGGACTGTTGCTAGGGATGTGGTGGTTTGGGACTATGCTGGGATGTGGTGGTGCAGGGGACTGTTGCTAGGATGTGGTGGTGCAGGGGACTGTTGTTGGGGTGTGGTGGGGGGAGGGACTGTTGCTAGGATGTGGTGGGGAGGGACTGTTGCTACGATGTGGTGGGGGGAGGGGACTGTTGCTAGGATGTGGTGGTGCAGGGAACTGTTCCTAGGATGTGGTGGTGTGGGGACTGTTGCTGGGTTGTGGTAGGGGAGGGGACTGTTGCTGGGATGTGGTGGTGTGGTGCTGTTGCTGGGATGTGGTGGTGCAGGGGCTGTTGCTAGGGATGTAGTAGGGGGAGGGACTGATGCTGGGATGTGGTGGGGGAGGGACTGTTGCTAGGATGTGGTGGGGGGAGGGACTGTTGCTGGGATGTGGTAGGGAGGGACTGTTGCTAGGATGTGGTAGGGGAGGGACTGTTGCTAGGAAGTGGTAGGGGAGGGACTGTTGCTAGGATGTGGTGGGGGAGGGACTGTTGCTGGGATGTGGTAGGGAGAGGACTGTTGCTAGGATGTGGTAGGGGGAGGGACTGTTGCTGGGATGTGGTGGGGAGGGACTGTTGCTGGGATGTGGTAGGGGAGGGACTGTTGCTAGGATGTGGGGGAGGGGACTGTTGCTGGGATGTGGTGGGGGAGGGACTGTTGCTAGGATGTGGTAGGGAGGGACTGTTGCTAGGATGTGGTGGGGAGGACTGTTGCTGGGATGTGGTGGGGAGGGACTGTTACTAGAGTTTGGTAGGGGAGGGACTGTTGCTAGGATGTGGTGAGGGAGGGACTGTTGCTGGGATGTGGTAGGGGAGGGACTGTTGCTAGGATGTGGTAGGGGAGGACTGTTGCTAGGATGTGGTGGGGGAGGACTGTTGCTGGGATGTGGTGGGGGGAGGGGATGTGGTAGGGATAGGGGACTGTTGCTAGGATGTGGTAGGGAGGGACTGATGCTAGGATGTGGTGGGGGGGACTGTTGCTAGGATCTGGTATAGGGCGGGGAAATTATTGCTAGGATGTGCTATTGCAGAGGAAGGGGAATTGAAGTGGATAGAATTTAGGATGGAGCTGTAGATAAAACAAAAGAGAGAAGCATTATAGACCGGGATAAACAGGATGATGTTGTGGACTTTGGTGGATAGGATTGAGGTAACATTATGGACTTTGACAGATGGGATGGAGGATGAGCAATATTGCTTGTGTCTCGAAAAATTACATATAGAAGAATTCATATATTTATTTATTTTTTTTTACTTTTTATATCAACGCAGTTTTATCTCACTTATAGATACCGTCTTAATAATTTATATACTTTAGTCAATACTACACGTAATGACAGATGTATATACAGTAATGTTTATGTTAAAATTGTCATGAAGATTGTTGTCCCATCGTCTAAACAACGTTGAAATTTTAAACATTGAAACATTGAAAGAAAAAGTGAAACATGAAAAATAATTGACTTTGGTTATAATACAGGGTGGTATATTAAACCTTATATGCTTGTCTGAAATAATAAGGTTAGGTTAGGTTAGGTTAGGTTAGGTTAGGTTAGGTTAGGTTTAAGTTAGCATAAGTTCAGTTCTCCCCGTCCCTAACTCCACCAGCTAGATATTGTTGGGAGGGAGGTGAGCCAGCGGCAGGTGTTTGACCATCTTGCTCACCTGATGACTTTCCAATAATTGACCTTTGACCTGCCATGTCGGTATTGGGAGGGATGGGGGGGTAGGGGTAGTGGACGAGGATAGATTGTCGCTGGCGGAGAACGATGTCTTCCTTCACACAGCTGGTGGGGTCAAGTGGCAGTCATACACACACACACACACACACACACACACACACACACACACACACACACACACACACAACACACACACACACACACACACACACACACACACACCATGCATGTCTTATAAATATGCTCACAGTGAGAAATGTAAGTGTAAGAGGCTTAGGAAGTGAGTTAGGAAGTTTGAGCCAATACCTCA